TTTAATCTTCACAGTTCACTGAAGTAGATAATTCCATTATTCCAACTGTACAGCTGAAGAAGATGAAGCACAGAGAGGTGAAATCACCTGCACATCATTATGTTTGTCAGGAGTGGAGACAGGATTCAAACCTGGGCAGAATTACCCCAAATCTGTCCACCAGACTGTAGCAAGTCATCACTGGTTTTTGAATAGACAAATGAATTTCTCAGGAAAGAACAGTACTTGAAAAGACTTTGCAGTAAACCCTTTTGTGATTAAAGCAGTCACCTCTATCTTATATTTATGAATTCAGAAACTTTCATTACTTTTAAAATAGAATACATGTGTACTGGGAAAGAGAGACCAGCACAGAACATGCTTGGATAAAGCGTTGCAAGGAATGATGAGGAAATTGGACTGTCAAAGTGGTTGAAATACCAGAAAGTAATATTATGTGAATGTTTATTAGGTTCATTTATCCTGACAAAGATAGGGAAGAGGGGAAAAAATTCAACATTATTGTTGAATATGAAGAGATGTTACTCAGTTGTTGTCAAGTGCCGACCCATAGTGACCCTGTATAGCATTTCCAAGGAGCGGCTTGTGAATTTGAACTACCAACATTATTCTATAGTGCCACACAAAAGGACATATGTCATGCAATAGACCCTGATGAAGTAGCTTGGCTCACTAATGGGAAGACAAAACAAAACACAGAAATGTATAAAGAGGCATGGGAGTGAAAACTGAAGTAGCTCCTAGTTCAAGAGAAGGCTCCAAGAAAAGGGAGCAGTTGAACTGGATGGAGGACTGGCCAAGACAAATGGCAAAAGGAAAACATTCTAGAGAAAAAGGCCAACGTAAGCAAAAGCTTGGGGATTCTTAACTACATGGGAATAATGGGAACTAGGGGAGTGCAGTGGCTCTGTAGGACAAGTACTGGACCGCTGACCACAGGGTTGGTGGTTTGAACCAGCCAGGGGCTCCATGGAAGAAAGATGAAGTTTTCTGCTTCTGCAAAGATTTACAGCCTCAGAAACCCTCTACAGGATCACTGTGAGTCCAAACCAAATTTCTTGACTATGCAAAGGCTGTTCATTGTGTTTCATGGCAAACTATGGACAACATTATGGAGAATGAGCATTCTGGAACACGTAATTATGCTCATGAGGAACCTATACATAGACCAAGAGGCAGTTGTTCAAACAGAACAAGGGAACAATGAAGGGTTTAAAATTAGGAAAGGTGTGTGCCAGAATTGTATTCTTTCACCATACTTGCTTAATCTGTATACTGAGTAAATAATCAGAGAAACTGGATTATATGAAGAAGAATGTGGCATCAGGATAGGAGGAAGACTCATTGACAACCTGTGATATGCAGATGATACAACCTTGCTTGCTGAAAATGAAGAGGACTTAAAATACTTACTGATGAAAATCAAGGACCACAGCCTTCGGTATAGATTGCACCTCAGTGTAAAGAAAATAGAAATCTTCCCCGCTGGACCAGTAAATCACATCATGATAAATGGAGAAAAGATTGAAGTTGTCAACTAATTCATTTTACTCAGATCAACCATCAACACTCATGAAAGCAGTGGTCAAGAACTCAAACAACGTATTGCATTATGCAAATCTGCTGCAAAAGTCCTTTTTAAAACATTCAAGAGCAAAGATGTCAGTTTGAGGACTAAGGCGTGCCTTACCCAAGCCATGGTATTTTTTTTTTTTTTCACAGAGAAAACATTTTACCAAAGGAAAAGTACAGATTTTTGCTATCACAGGAAACCGTGATCGACTAGTATTTTTTTTAATAATAGCTCTGGATCCACGGGTCTTTTTCTATGTGTATATGTGCCAATTGGTATCAGAGCTCAATGACAGAAAAGGCAACGGGAGTCTACATTTGTGGTGGTATGTATTTCTTTTAAGAATTTTTAATGTAAGGCCATTTTTTAAACATAGACAAACCACAAGATGAAAACGAAGGCAACAGAAAAACCAGTCAACTTTTCACAACCCCCCAAATCAGTACAATCATAAAAACAATTTAGAGATGAGTGTAAAAGCCAAGTGGCACCTCTGCCTTCTAGTACCCAGGAAGACGTGGCCTCTCAATTTCAAATCAATGTCATTAAGGTATGAGGTTACAGAAATCATGTTCAGGGTACAAGACAAATTCGGGGTCTTATCCCATTGGTCATGAATGTTTTCCCCAAAACGACTTTTTGAAATCGGGCCACTGAAAGAGACAAGACGTTTGTTCATTCTATACGTTTTCATCCAACTTTACTTAGGGCTGAGTACACATGAAATGTGCTTTTAATGCATAAAAATGACAGTGGATAGCAGCGAAGGATTGGGAAGGCTGGGGAGGGGGCTAAGGAGAATCTGATCATTCACATTGTGATTATTCTGCACATTGAGGAAAGACAATTCATACTTGGAAACCTTCCAGACTTCACTTTTGAGAGAACCGAAACAACCCCAAGCGAGCTGGCCCACACACTTCCCCACCCCTCTAGACAAGTGGGTGACCCTTGTACACAGAAAACTGAAATCGATATGGCAGCAAGAGAGTTTGGATAGCAAGGAGACGTTTGTAAACGGGTTTTCAATCATGTTCTTGTCCCCCGAGTGCGGGGTGCAGGGCCCCCCCATCTTTCAGTAGTGTTTCTCCTGGAGGTAGACCTTCATTTTGTTCGGCAAAGGCAGTTTCTGGATCAGGTCTATTCTGATGTACTGCCGGATCACGAATCGGTACAGGTACTGCAGAGAGCGGACCTGCATGAACCTCGACACCGGGTTGGTCAGCCTGACCGGGTAGATGGCCGCGCCGGGCAGCCGGGACCTGGAGTAGCAGAAGACTCCGTTTTCTGAGTCCCGGATCGAATGTTCCATGAGGTCGACGATGGACGTGTGTCCTTCCACGTCCGGCTGCTCGTAGAAGCTAAACCTCCCGTTGGAGTGCTCGATCCTGGTATGTAGCGTCTTGCCGTGGGAGCGGAAGCTAAGGCTGAGGAGGTACCGGTCATCGGAGCTGTCCCGGACCAGGAAGGAGCTGTCCGGCACGTTGGCCAGCTTGCCCTCGGCCTCCCAGCATGTGATGGGGCCCCAGTACCATCCTTGTTTGGCCAGTTTCTTCAGCTCCTCGGTCAGGCTGGTCACCACCATGGGCCCGCTGCTCTGCACCGAGTCATAGACTCGTGCCACCCCGGGGGCAGAGTTGGGGTCAAAATTCAAATGGCAGCGCATGCTTTCAGACACGTGGGCGTCAGCACCCGGGAGCCGGCTGAAGTCTCTTTGGACTTGATGGTTCTGCATCGGAGGTAGCAAAGAGGAGAGTGGGGGGCCGTCCTCGTGCCTGGCGTGGGGGCTCTGCAGCAGGACTCCCGTGGTGCCCATCAGCAGGCCGTTCACTGGCAGCTCCTGGTCCACCTGCTCCACCTGGCCCTCCTCTTCCGGGAAGGCGCTCCCTCCCCCGGGTGGGGGCACGGCGGAGACTTCCATGGGGGAGGAGCTGTCCAGACAGTAGCTCCGAGGCCCCCCACAGGGTACATCCCCTCGTCTAAAGGCACAGTGTACTGGATGTAGTCCTGAGGCACGAGTCCTATGACGACAGGCACGTGTTCGTCCAGGTCCAGGTGCAGGTCCCCGGGGTGCGCGTCGTCGGCGTTCTTCAGGGGGCTGCTCTGCGCCTGGCACAGGGGTCCGGCCTGCAGCTCAGGGAAGTCCTTACGGACTCCGTTGAGGGCTGGGCTGGGGCTGGACGAGTGGACCAGGGCTTTAACCCGCACCTCCATCTTGATGCGTGTCTCCTCCAAGACCGTGGGCCGCAGGGGCCAGGGCGTCGGGCTGTAGTGGTGGTTACGCAGCGACGTGGAGCGCAGGGGCCACTGGGCCCGGACGTCCTTGAAGACGATGGGGGCGGACGAAGAGGAGAAGGTGTCGTCGTCCGCGGAGCTCCCCGACGGTGCGGAGCCCTTGCCCCTTAGCTTCTGCTTGGCCGAGAGCCGCCTCTTCAGCGTACCCATGAGACTTTCGCTCTTCCAAGCCATGGTATTTTAAATAATCTCATATGCATGCAAAAGTTGAACAGTAAATAAGGAAGACCATAGAAGAATTGATGCATTTGAGTTATAGTGTTGGAGGAGAATATTAAAAGTACCATGGACTGCCAAAAGAACAAACAGATCTGTGTTGGGAGAAGTACAGCCAGAGTGCTCCTTAGAAGCCAGGATGGCCAGACTTTGTTTTCTCGTATTTCAGACATATTATCAGGAGGGACCAGTCTCTGGAGAAGGACATCATGCCTGGAAAACTAGAGGGACAGTGAAAAAGAGGAAGACCCCAAGGAGATGGATTGCCACCGTGGCAGCAACAATGGGCTCAAGTGGAGCTAGGATTTTGTGGTTGGTGCAGGACCAGGTCGTGTTTTGTTTTGTTATACATAAGGTTGCTATGAGTCGGTATGATTCAGTGGCACCTAACAACATCAACATTGTTATTTCTGTCATCTTAAGAGAAATGTTTCCATATATGCAGAAAAATAAGCACGCATTAGTAGGTATGCGTGGCTTCGTGAATCAGCTGTGTATTTGACACCAAAATGATGGCTTCAGTAAATTCCTAAATATTTTATTTGGTTTCTGACTAAAATAAGACGTGTGTTTCCTATGTGAAAAAGGAGACTCTGAATTGTTACTCATAAAATAAATTAAAATCCAGCACGATTCAAACATGAGTTTTGTCATCACTTGGGAATCCAATACCAGACCCACCAACTAGCTAGCTGTTTAACTGAACAAATATTGGATTCTCTTGAGCTCACATCCTGATCTGTAAAGTTGAGATGATAGTAATTCTCACATCACAGTGAACTAACTGAAAGATGCATGAAAAGTGCCTAGAACCAGCCAGTCTCAGAAAGCGTGATATGCATTAATTTTCTTCTCTCCCAGCATCTCCTCATGCAGTCCTGATGGTTTTCAGCTTGCCCTACCTCGTGACCTAGAGTTGCAAGTGGTCAGTTTAGGATGCAGCTTTGTCAGTGTTGGAGACATTCCATTAAAAACCCAGTGGCTTGGTTAACCAGCAGAGTGGAGCTTGTTTCTGGTTTAGCGCAGTCTCCTCCTCCCAATTCTGCACAGTCTCCTTTATCCTCTTGTGATCAGTGGACTTCAAGCCATAGTAATGTTTTCACCAGGGGCTGAAGGGATGAAGGAATTGATACTCTTGTTTTCTTTAGAATAAGTCTTAGCATCTCTTTGTTCACAGCGGTTAATAAATTCAGCATCCTTCAGATTAGATAATGTATGTTCACTATCAGTAGGAAACAACCAGAGGAGTAAATATTTGCTATAAATATCTTTCTGATTCCTTGAACATTAATTTCCTACATCTGACAAGTGAGTCCTCTCCAGCACCACTTCACATTTAGAATCAAAGGGAAAACAATTCCCACAGCAAGGAGCCTGTCACTGGGTGTATCCAGTGGGGAAAATGTAACCATAGTGCAGTGACTCAATATTGAGAAGATGTGACAGGCCATGCTTAAAGTTTTGTGTCACATTCACATGACTGGCTAAGAGATGAAAAGAAAACAAAAAATTAATCCCCCTCATGGAATCTCATCCAAATTCACTTAGTGGTTGGTTGCTACACAGCACTGTGTCTCTGTCCGCCCATTAATAGTCATCATCAAATATCCATTATTGGTTTCCAGCAACAGCATAATTGCCTTCCTTCCTTCCTTTTCTGGAGCAGTCAGTGTGCTCTCAGAAAAGGGCAGTTATATAATCATCTTTCCACAGAAACTCTAAGAAGTCTGTTGTGTCCTCCAGATATTGATGTCAGCCTGCTCGTTCTGGTGAAGTGAAAGAAGGAAATCATTTTATCGTGCTATTTTTAGACTTCAATTTAGATTTCAGCTTTTATGATACTTTGTCTACTGGAGACAGAGACACTGATGCACAGTTTAACTCTAAGACTTTCAGGTTCTAACTGTAGATCGTAGATACCCTCTTCTTAGCACTAGGTCCACCAAGACAGCCGCATCCTGTACTCAGCTGCATTTTCCTCCTTGTCAGCTGGAAGCAGAGCCCGGGATTATAGGTATACTCTATGCTCTGTATTAACAATACTTACCAGTGAATCTTGCTGCTAGAAGTCACCAATAAAGCTTTCATCTGATGTTTATATGCATAAATATTAAAGTGCCACTCTAACTCCCCATAAATCAAATTAGTTCATTTGGCCTTCCTCGCTTTTCTAGCCAGTTTCTCACAGGTGGTAGATGAGCTCCAGAATGAAGAAAAAATATTTCTCTTTAAAAAGAAAAAAAGCTTGGGTACAGGGAATTCCAGGTACCTTTGTCTTAGCTGTTAGGGGAAGACCCTCAACTCAAGTGGTCATTGTAGTCTTAGGTGTGTGTACTGAGTTAGCCTCGAATCCCAAAGGTATCTTGAAAAGTACCACAAAACCTCCTGTCATGTATGAGGAGGCATCAAAATGTTCATGAAAAAATGTAATTAAAAGAATGGAATTTTTCCTTGAACTTTAAAAGCTTCCTCATGCACCAAAACTCTGGTCAGTTTGAATTATGGATGCAAATGATTCCACAATCCAAAAATGTTGTTGTTGTTATGTGCCGTGGAGTCGGTTCCAACTCATAGCGACCCTGTACAGGGTTTCCAAGGCTGTAAATCTTTATGGGAGTAGAAAGCCTCATCTTTCTCCCGCAGAACAGCTGGTAGTTTCGAACTGCTGACCTTGTAGTTCGCAGCCTGATTCGTAACCACTACGCTACCAGAGCTTCTTAATCCAAAAATAGTGGGCTTTATTTCATAAAACCCACAACATGCATACTTTCCAAATATTAACTGTGTAATTCTCTCATTGGGCTATAGTATGGTACTGTAGGATAAGCACTGGACTGCTCACCACAAGATCAATGGCTCAAACCCACCAACCACTGCTCAGAAACCCTATGTAGGGTCGCTATGAGCCCGAAGTGACTGAACACCACTTAACAACAACAACCCTTTTAATGATCCTTTGAAAAAGGTGAAAGTTACTATTCTTATTCTGTGGAAGTAGAGGCCCCAGGAAGCTAAGTAATGTGGCCATGGTTGAAGAGCCAGTAAGAAGTGGAGCTGGACTTCAAACCTCCTGCCAGACCCCTGAAGTCAACTGCTCTACAGAAATGCCACTCCCAAGCATCCAGGCTGGAATGTGAAGTACATTGCGCTTCTAGAGGTAGGCCCAGAGGGTGACAGGTACAGTCTCCTCCCTCCCCACTGATTCTACTCGTTTTCCAATCATTCTGACTTCCACAGTGAACACTATTCACCTTCAATGACTTCAAGTCTGGGCAAAACTATTGGATTGTTGATTTTGTTGAGTGTTATCCAGTTGGTTGCAACTCATAGCGACGTTGTATATCAGAGCGAAACACTGCCTGGTCCTACACCATCCTCACAATCTTTGTTATAATTGAGCCCATTACTGCTGCCACTATGTCAATACATTGAGGGAATTCCTCTTTCCCACTGACTCTCCACTTTATTAAGCACAATGTCCTCCTCTAGGGACTTGTCCCTCATGTCTGAAGTATGAGAGATGAAATCTCACCATCCTGGCTTCTAAGGTGTATTCTGGCTGTACTTTTTCCAACACAGATTTGTTTGTTCTTCTGGCAGTCCACGGTACTTTCAGTACTCTTCTCTAACACCAGAACTCAAATACATCAATTCTTCAACCATCTTCTTTATTCATTCTCCACCTTCTAGATGTATATGAGGCCATTGAAAATACCATGGCTTGGGTCAGGTGCCCTTTAGTCCTTAAAGTGGTATCTTTGCTTTTGATCACTTTGAAGAGGTCTTGTGCAGAAGATTTGCAATGCATCATTTGATTTCTTGATGCTGTTTTCATGATTGTGAAACCAAGGAAAATGAAGCCTTTGATAGCTTCAATCTTATCTCAATTTATAGTGATATGATTTATTGGTCCAGTGGTGAGCATTCTTGTTTTATTTACATTGAGATGCATCCCATACTAAAGGCTGTGGTCTTTGATCCTCATCAGAAAGAATTTTAAGTCCTCTTCACTTCCAGCAAGCCGTCTGCATATCACAGGGTGTTAATGAGTCTTCCTCCAATCCCGATGCCACGTTCTTCTTCATGTAATCCAGTTTCTTGAATTATTTGCTCAGCATACAGATTGAATAAGTATGATGAAAGCATACATCCCTAGCACATACCTTTCCTGATTTTAAACCATTCAGTATCCCCTTGCTCTGTTCCAATGACTACTGCCCTTTGGTCTATGTATACTTTCCTCATGACCACAAGTAAGTGCTCTGGAATACTCATTCTTCGCATTGTTACCCGTTGTTTGTCCCCACATGATCCATGCAGTCAAAAGTCTTTGTAAAGTTATTAAAGCACAAGTGATCATCGTGTGGTTCAAATTGTCCTTGCAGTTCAGTGCTCACCCTACAATGCCACATTAGGCCAGTCTTCCCTGTTGGCATATGGATTTTATCACATGGAACAGTATACTTCAAGATAGATCTTGAAATGTTCTTTTTGACAATGAATGTGGCATCATTATTCTTTTATTTGTTGTTCCCAGCTAGCCAACTCTGATTATCTGATTCACTGTGGCCAATACCAGTCCATTTTAGCTCACCAATACCTAGGACATTGATTTTTATGCCTTCCGTTTCATTTTTGACAATTTCCAATTTTCCTAGATTCAGAAGTATGAATCTAGTGTGAAACTTCAGGACTCTGAATTATGGGGTAAAGAAAGAATATTCCTGAGGCTCCATTAGCTCACTCTTCATGGAGATCTACCTCATGCCGTACACACAGGAGGTCCCACTGAGTCTCCAAGGACCTGTCCTTCAGGTACAAAGGAGAAAGCCCTGGCCCTGCAGAAGGCCCTTGGACAAGGACAACAGACTTCTTGAGCCTCCTAACCTCCTTCCCCATTTATGACGCTTGTACTGCAGAAGCCCTGCGAGGCAAGTGAGAGACATGGTTGTTCTTTGGTATTCTTGCCACATTCCCCTTTCCCTTGTCCCCTCTGTGTGCATGGAGGACTACTGGGAAGCTGTCAGACAGAAGACCTGTGTGTCCATCTTCTCTTTCCTTCTCTCGGTGTGGCTTATCAATTGTGAAGCACATGAGTTTACTCAGTCATGGGGACATGATCCACATCTATTTCACACATTAGAAATTCCTCTGCCATGCTCGCTTTCCCTGTGCTCACTTCCAGATGAAGATGTGCAGATGACCTAGTCTACTTCTTTTCAACAGTTAAACCTTTCTTCCTTGGAAGTAGGCTGTTTACTGGGGCACAAGGTTCTGGGATGCTTTCCTCTTACTGCTCCCAACTGTGTCACAGAAGTCTCCTGAGCTTGTCAGCTTGGAGGCAACATTTGCACCCTCTTCGGTTAGTGCATAGCATGGATTGACAGGACTTACCTGAGATGCTTGGCTTGTCTTCGTCCCGACTGCTTTCTGCAGTTTTCATAGCAAGAGTCTAGCCTAACCACGTGGCTGGAATCATGCATATAGACTGGCTTTTTTGTTAGCTGCTCTTACTGTTCTCCCTGAAACATAGTATGGTTAAGGGACATTTTGGCATTTTCTCTTTCCAACAGAAAGATCATGCAATCCTGGCCTACCTCTTTGTGAAATAGAATATTTTAGGTGTGAGTTGTTAGCAGGCCCATTTTCCATCACATTTTCATGGCATTTCTTACTGAGCTCTTGTTGGAAAGCCTCATTTTGAGATGTTGGAAGTATGCTAGATGTCACCTGTAGTTCTGCGTTGGCCAGCTCCATTTCTTTCTGACTAGACTTAAAATGTGTCCAGGAGATAAGCTGAGAGGCAGTTTACCACAGGCATGCTCTCTCCTTGTTTTATTCCTGTTTCCCTCTAAAATTCTTTGACTGTTCTCAGTATCAACGTGTGTTTCCATTTGTCCCTGAGTCCTCGGGAGCTAAATGTGA